CCGTTGTTAATCATTATATATTATTTAGTATGGATCTATAAACGTCTCACAGTCTAATTCAACCAATGCAACTGATGCGTTGATCAAAGTACAATATAATTCATTAGCAAATGATAAAATTCAAATCACACAAGAAACATATGGAAATTCTTATGCTATAAAAATTGTAATAGAAATTTTTTTTTCTTTTTTCTTTGTTTTTCAAAAAATAAAGTAATTAATTATTACTTATTCTACAAAATGTTACAATTTAGGTACAAGTAAACTCAATCACTATGTTTGGTCTTAGTATACCACCTAGATGTATAGTAGCGAATATTGACATCACTCTACCATTAATCATGGATCCTAATACTAATGAAACAACATTTCATACGGATGATTTTGATATAACGTTTGCAGAGAATGCTAACAAGTATAACCAATCACTAACGATTAATAATGAAGATTCTAAGATTCAATTTAATAATTTATCCGCCAAATCATTAGTTATTAATTCTAATGCTGGTTATGTAAATGGAACAATCACAGGCATCGAAAATAATTTTAGTGTCATTGCGGATGATGCTGATTTAAATCTAAGTGTTGGAATTGCTGATAATGCAAAGTCTGCTATGGTTGATATTGTAAATGATGTGGGTCAGATTAATTTAACTTTTGTAAGTATTATATTATTATTTAACTTTTTACAACACAAAATAAACATCATCTAATTAAATAATTTGTTTTTTTATTTCATAGAGCGTAAGTATTATATTATAATTTAACTTTTACAACACAAAATAAACATCATCTAATTAAATAATTTGTTTTTTTATTTTTTTATAATAACCAGTTGGTAAGTATTATATTATAATTTAACTTTTACAACACAAAATAAACATTATCTAATTAAATAATTTGTTTTTTTATTTTTTTATAATAACCAGTTGGTAAGTATTATAATATAATTTAACTTTTACAACACAAAATAAACATCATCTAATTAAATATTTTGTTTTTTTATTTCATAGAGAGTAAGTATTATATTATAATTTAACTTTTACAACACAAAATAAACATCATCTAATTAAATAATTTGTTTTTTTATTTCTTTATAATAACCAGGGTGTAAGTATTATTTTATAATTTAACTTTTACAACACAAAATAAACATCAAATTAAATAATTTGTTTTTTTATTTCTTGGTAAGTATTATATTATCCCTTAAACGTACAAGATTTGCGTGCTAATCGGCACGCAATTTTTGAAAAAATGTAGACCCCTACTAGACA